ACCGAAAATGATTGCGACATACCACACCGGTCTCTAAAAAACTATCATGAGCCTATCACAGCCCTAAGAAATTCTTGAAAGGTACAACTGGCCGCTTAAAAAACTTTGACGTAAATTTCAAACCTCTCAGAAATTGTTGAATTGTACTTCAAGACGTTCGAAAAATCTTGGTAGGCCCACAAAGGGCTTTTTAATAGGGTAGTATGGGGTGTGGGATGAAAATAGTCACATCGTGCAAAAATATTTTCCGAAATTAAAATTCAGTGCAATGGAGCTGCAAGAAAACGGCGTGCACATAACAAATCAAAGAAGTTATCATGTACATAATGCATATTTCTAATAACGCGTTATGTAACCTCTTTTTCCTCGTGCTGATTATATCAAATATAACATAGATTCTTTGATACGCATATGTACCTTGTTTCTTTTTATCCTATACTTTTTCCTTCTTTTTGATGAGCTACTGATATACAGTATCCTTTAAATAATATGTATATATATATAAACCTTAAAATAGTCAACATTTGCTAATTTAAGTATTCAAGCAAACATTTTCTGTTCATTGTGTGCAATTTGTATCAAGTACGAAAAATCGACTAACATCTCGAAGTTCAAGCAAACTATACCACGGAGTTTACTTTGGACCATTTTGTCTCAGATGGCCCTTTGGACCGTTTTGTCCGGGGCCATTTCGACTGTGGCCATTTTTTACCGGGGCCTTTTTGTCCGGGACCAGTCCAGCCCGACGTTTTATCTCAGAACTCGAATAGATACCAAGAAGCAACAAGTCTGCGGAACAAATAAACCTAAAAAAAAAATCCCGAAAAAAAAATCAACCCACAAAAGCCCGTAACCTTATTTATTGAGCACTAAAAAATTAGATAGTGGAAGAACTCTTAAGAGGGGGAAAAGTGCAAACGCCACAATGACTTGGGGTTTCCTCAATATGACTGCCTACCAACTCGTCTGCGCATTAACTCTCTAATTTAGTTACTAAATTTGCTTTCTTATAAAAATATTTCTTACACAAAAACAGACAGTCCTATTGCGACTTTGGCTATGATGTTGTGCATATTAACCACGTATTTAATGGTATAAATTAAAACAAATTACAACTACCGGATTGCCACGCACATGCGTTTCAAACTTCAATGCTGTTTTGCCACCTTGCGGCATAAATTTAGTGCCTGAGCATCTTCTTTATTCTTTTAGAAACTGCAAAACATTAGTGGCCTATCATTTCTTCGCCGTCTCCTCTTTCTCAAATTGATCCACCTTTTCCCTTTGCTTATGTTTATTGCTTCCGTAATTGTTTTCGAAGGACCCGTCCTACCGAACGTGGTTCCAGATGGGGCGGAACCATGCAATCACAATCTTTTGCAAGGCGTTTTGGGGAAAGATTATTCAAGCGCGCATTCAGACTTGAGCAAAACTATGTCAAGGTCAACAAGTCATCCCTTTCTCGCGTTATCCAACTGCGCGAGGCCAGAGAGGTATACATTGGGCTCCTACGTTGAGCCCCATATCCCGTTTATTCGTTTCCTAAGCTTTGGTACGATTGAGTCAAGGGAACAATGTGCGGATAATCACCGAAAATCGGGAGACAACCAGATTACCTATAAATTGCTCATCTTACTTTAAAAGCAACGGTTTTTTTTATTACGTAAGATTCATTGTGTGAAAGCGCGTTGTGTGCACTTAATCGAAAGCATTAGGTGTATACATAGCGGCGACGAGCAGCGAACGGACTCTATCTTCGTTCCTAGTTTTGTGTTCGTTTTGTGATTTAGGCTGATCTCTTTATTTTCCTCAATCGATAACTTACAATCTTGCACCGACAGTTTTCTAAGTCGGGCAGGTTCGTTGAACACTGGCATAATGCATATCTTCCAGATGAAGCCCAGTCGATAGCTCGAAGGTTAAACTCGGAAACACCTGTCAGAATAATTTAATTCCCAACATATGCGATGTGTTTCTCTTGTTTCTTTAATTAGTAAGCATGGGGGGAAATGCGACATTTTGAGTTTTACGCCATTTTTATTTAAATGTCGCAATGAAAGTATGTTGATACCTTGCCGGCATGTGCTGGCGCATGTTTGCTTTGCTGCTTAGAAAACTTGCTACAATTGGTGCAAGCACGTTGCTGAAAAAGGTTCGTAGTTTTGTTTCATGCGTCGACGAACCGCCAAAATGTTGTTAAATTCTTGAATTCCATTATTCTAGAGGCGTGCAGTTCAGATTAATAAATCTGCTCTGCCAAGGGGATTCATTATTTGTTTGTTCTCTTAGCTAATTGTAGGCGAACGTTTATTGCTCTAGGTTTTTATTTTTATGACTATAAAATTGTCTATATAAGAGTACCCCCCATGAAGGAAACGCGACTATATCGCCATCAACAGACGCGAACTAATTTTTGGCGGGTTGAGTGTCTGTTACCTAGCTATTACTGACGTAGTGATGCAGGCCAGTTGGTTATGCATGTTGAAAAGTAGTGAAAGCGCACCATAAAGACGCATACGAAGACGGAGAAGCAGCGCTCGTCCGGTTGGCTTCTCCGTTTTCGTATTCGTCTTTATTGCGCGCTTTCACTACTTTTCAAGCGAGCTATTGCTTTTTTTTTTTTCGTATGGTGTAGGATGTACAGACATGCAAAAGAAAAACAAGTAGTGCTTCATGGTGCCAAAATGACATCGAGAAATCGTTTTAAAATGTGCATCTGCAGCGTCGGTCTTTTTGCGCGGCAGCCAGAACCGTTTCGCGGATGCACCCTGAAAGCCTGCAGAAACATTGAACGAATGCAAAGAGCAAGTACTTTAAAAAAGAGATTCGTATTCGTTTTTAAACTTCTTTGCAACCAGCAAAACAAATGCTCATTAAACATTGTGTGTGTCCGGAGAAGTTCCCTTTTTGGGCTGGCGTACGGGAATGTGCAAAGGAGAGTTTAACTTTACACCTAGTGTGGAACAAATAAAACCGAGAAAGAAGAATATTCAGAGTGAAGAGGAACGTCTGCATATTCTTCGTTCACCGAGTAAGTCGGTGAGGCGGAAGCGCTCTGCAAAACGTGCGACGAGTGCGACTGGCATTGCCTCGCGTGCAAAGAAATATGAAGCGAAACAGCGCCTCGTTCTGTGTGGGTTCACTGCACGGCGTGCGAACTGTGGGGCCCACAAAGAGTGAGTGAGGGCCCTCGGAGCATACTTCAATCGTTACGAGTGCGATAAATGAGCCGTCTTCATTTTTTTGACAGGGTGTCCCATTTTGCCCCATTATATAGTCGTCTCGTTTTGCCCCACGGGGGTCGGAGCAAAATAAGCTACTCGTGACTTTTTTCTTTTTATTATTGTCAAGAAATATCTCGTAGCTCTGGTAAGTCGAGTTTATAGTCATTTTACTGACAGCAATGCCACGACGGCGAAGAACATTTTCGTGCCGTTTTTTTCTCTTGATTCGCTATTAAATGAAAAAAAAAACATAGTTTCGCTTTGAATATTTTTGCCTTACCTCTTATAGGCGCATGGAGATGTGTAAACTCGTATCGATTGCTGTATTCGGAATAAAAAAATTTTCTCATTGTTTCGTATTTAAGGCAGCAACCACTCATGCAGTCGTTCGCACCTAGATTTTACGCCAGCATAGAAATTTAACGTTTGTCTTTATTGAGGAGATGTGTGCAGAGAGTTTTTATGAAACTAATGTGACACGATTGTCATACAAAGGAGAAACATGTCACAGACAGTGTATGCACCTGTCCCTTGTATGATGTATCCGTAGTGGTACCGCGCCTTTCAAATCAACGAAGGGCTATACTGCTCTACGGCTATACATCTCTCGCGGAAACGGCCGTTTCCACTGCAAATGTTTAAACCCGTGCGATATGTCCAGCGGTACAAGGTCTCAAAAATTGTCTCGAGTTTAGTCATGCCGACCACGAGCTGTGTTACCGGATACCGAAAACACAAACAGAAAATTCAAGAACAAAACAGCTTCGTAATCGGAAAATCTAACACATAAATAAAAACAGCCTTTTACTTCCTACATAAAAAAAAACGCACACAGACAGACCGAATGAGAAAACCAACACACCCTGAGGGGGACAAATCGTAATCTGAAGGCTGTGCACAACACCGATAGAACTTTGGTTCCATTTCCTCGGGGCTTAAGTGCCTAACGTTTAATTAACTTTGCGGTGTGACAACAAAAAGAGGGTTGCGAGTCCCTAAATCTCCTCAGCTCGGTCCAATAAACCTGAACCTTTCGCCATTCTTGGAAAAAACAAAATTCCATAAAATGTTAACTAGAACTCTCGCCATTCCCGACGCACTAATATGCTTGCTTCACTTTTTATTGTATTCAGTTCAGTGTTTTATTATAATATTCTTTCATATTTCTGTTTTTATTGTTTTCTCCTGCGTCAGCGTGGCCACAACCTCCACTGAAGTTTACTATATAGTTTAAGAAAAATAATAATATCTTGGAGGTTTATATCTCGAACAAACGAAGAGCCTCTGGAATGGCACAGCGATGGACTGAATATTAATTTAAACCGCCTGGGGATAATTTGGCGTGTGTGGCAGTTCAGTTACAGTTGCAAAAGGCGTCCGTTATAATGCTGGCATCTCGGCCTAGATGCGGAACCGCAAACTAGAACTCGCTGGCCGACGTTTTGCCTCGTAGCCACCGAGGAGTCTAAACATATTACAAACGGGAACAACGCGACCTCGTTCTCCTCGCAAATACGCTTCCGTAGTGTGGCCAATCTATTCCACTGATGTCATGAATCTCAACACGTTGAATAAGTGTGTCACCCTTTTAAAACTTAAGCAGAAAAAAACATTACATATTCAACTTAGGTCATCGAAGCGCCTCGTTATGCAGAAGCCGTTTCATTGTCCCGAAGAGACAGCCAACGGAGTGCCGGTGAAGAAGTTATCGTCAACGACAACGACACGACCGCACTCAAAACCGTGGCAGATCAGCAGCGTTGTTCACGCACTTACCTCTAAGTCACGTAAATGCAGCCGTCGAGAAGCCAACGGAGAATCACGAGTAAACACAGCACTTATCTCTATTTTTTCACTTCACTCGGTTTGGCGAATCACAAAAACAACGGGGAAACTTTTCTTTTTTCTCAAGAATTCCAGGGCAGAACACACCGGTCGCCAGACTTGGAAGTCCGTCCCCTGCAGCTCTGCTGGAACGGGGCAAGGGAGGGCCGGCGAAGCAACTCCAGTGCTCAGTCGACGCACATCCCAACGAGGAGAGCGTGCAGCGCGTGATCAACAGGCGCGCTGTCGCGGACCCGCGACTCCGACACCGGGAGCTCCAACACTGACTCCAGGACGCGGCCACGCCGAGTGTTCACTGGGCGCCCTCCACTCACCTCCGGCCGGGCTCTGGAGAGCGCCGAGCAGCGGGCCACCCAACCAACCAAACAAAGAAACAAGAAATGGGCCCGTGGTGCCATCTACCAGCCGCGTCGCTAAACTCTCGGGGTTTGAGCCCCTGGCCCGGCTGCCCGCCGCCACGAAATCTCGAGGCTTCAACGTCGGTTTCGGATATGTGAACGAAAGCATTTGGTTTAAGGGGGAAAAAATAGACATCTCTCTAGCATGTTGTAGGTTTTTATATTGGAAGCACGCGAGAAACACGCGAAGCAATTTTTTACATGTGACGAAGCTAAGTGTACACAAAACAGCCGGTTTAATGAACTTGAAATTAAAAGTTCGCTGCCGCACTGAGTCTTTTAGAAAGTGTCTTTTTCGAAGCGAAGCGTACACGATGTACTGTGACCAATTGTATGGCTACGCCCTTGTGCTGTGTACAGCTTGTCGCGACTCTGTGCGCGTGCAAGTAGCACATGCTTCCATACAAAATACATCGGTGAAGTGTCTCGTGGTACAAAGTTTACGAAAACATTTGGATTTCAGACTATTTCAATCAACCCTTCTTTTTTTTCAATTTTTACTTACTATAGTACCACCGAGGTAATTTTAGTTTCTATTGCCATGTGAATCGCGTCTTAATAGTCGACACCTCAGTCAGATTTTGTATATCACAGGTATAACGAGGTCTTACAATGGTTTTTTTTTTCTTTTGTATGGATCTAATTTCACGGTTCCTTGTTAAATGGCCAGTGACAGTCCCAATATCGATACATTTTTGTGGTCTCAAACGCTTTAAAAGCGTGAGATATACCCATAAAAATGTCATCGCAAGAAAAAAAAAAAAAAGAAAGATTGGATAGGGGTGGATTTTCGCATCTTTTTTTTCAATTACGTAGTTGGCGAATGTACTTCTCATAATTATATAGGCATTTCGAGTTGCCTGTGTGTTACACAAATTAATGGTGTTCAACAAATATGTTTTTACGACAATTGAAAAAAGACTATGCCACTGGCTTCGAAACATAAATAATCGGATGCCGGAAGTATAAGTGACGTGATATCGGAGCTTTCCGTCCTTTCTACTTCATATTATGAGCATGGTGGTGCTCCGCGGTTATGCTGGGGACGTTTAGTGGTATTAGAACGATGGGAAAGTCGGCCAAGCCTCGGATAATTTGCTTTTTCGATGTAAGATAACCTCTCGGAATTCGAGGGGTTATCTTGGAGAAATCACAAATTCTGCGTTGTCCTCCGCTTTGCTCACCAAACTCTGCAACACGCTATTTACATCTTTACCTTTCTAAAAAGCGTTTAAGACCGACTAAATAGAAGACTGCTAGAAACTCAAAGTCGAACTAAAAAGTTACGCGTCGCCTGTACGCGGAGAAAAGCCACGTAGCGAGCGCACAGCGAAGGAGGCGCTCATTGACAGGTTGACGGTCGCGAGAGCTCCCGATGGCCGTGATCGATAAGAGGGAATGAAAGTTAAACGACACTTTCTCTATGAAGTCACTCAAAACGGCACGAAGCGCACCATTCTGCACTGCTTAAAAATTCCTGCACACAATAGATAGTTTTCGTAGAAAGTTTTGGCCTTTCCGCAACGCTATCCGCTACCCGCTACGAGACCCGCTAACAGAGGCATAGCGGAGACTCAAAAAAGTGCTTTCGTAGTCCGTTCTCTGCGGCCTACGGCACTGCGATTTTGACAGCGCCACTCACGGTCGTAAAAACACTATATAAAACATTAAACACATACTATTACTGCAACCATGTATTTGTTTTATCAGAGTGCCTCTTTTCGAACACAACGCATGGTTAATTTACGATTATGAGTGTTGAACTTTTTTCTGGATAAATTCTTCGTAGCACATCCTGCCAGCTTGCGGCAATCGCGATTTGCTTAAAGCGAGATTCAGTTCGGCCAAGTCAATCCTCTCTTTTTCATCTAGCGCTTTTTTATAATCGTGGGCACGTTCTCCGCCAATTCCCGAAGATGCAGCGGCTCAGCGTTCTTGAGGACCAACTTTTATTGTCCAGTTTAAGTTGGAGGGAAGTAGAAGATGTGTATTTGATGTTTTCCGAACTGGCAAAGCGGCGGTTTAAGTCAGAACACGGCTTCTTGGATGTCGACCGTCTTGACGACCACGTCTTTTGAAGTCTGTTTCGCTTCCACAAAAAGACATCGGGGAACTCCTTTCCTGCCTTTCTTTCCTGCCTTGGCACCAAATACTTTGCTAGAGGGAATAGATTCCACTCAGCTCATTTGCATTAGACAGAACGCCTACAGCGCCGAATCCCGCCCTGACGGAGGGGAGGTCCGCGTCAGTCCACGCGCATGGGCTCGTGGATGTTCGCGGCGGCCGCGGCGGTGTCGTCTCCGATTCCACCTAAAGCAACCTCATGTATCAAAAGTAGCGCAAGGTGCGTCAATGCACGAGGCTTGTGCAACGTGCTCGTGCAGATGCCTTGAACGCACGTGCATGTGGGTTCAAAAGACTATCTTATTTTCTGTTTTACGTATGTTATTTCACTGATGTGCGCCACTGGTATGGTGTAGTTTTGAAATTCGTATTCTACAAACAGATAAAACACTATTGTTATTTTTTTTTGAAGCGCTACCGACTGCTGATTAGCAGAAAATTTTGTTTTTAGTCTTTAGACTTTATTTATTTGGCTCTGGAGAACCGCGGCACCGCGGAAAGGCACCAGCTGGTACCATGGACGGTGCCGCGTTTAGTGAACATTATGATGTCATGAGTATATACATCAATTATGACGGCGACATGATTATTGGTATTGGGGGGGATGTCAGTCCGATTCGCATAAGTGCAGATTTCGTGGAGGCGGGTTGGGCGGGTGAGAATCGAGCTGGAAGATCTGGCACGCCGTTCGATCGGTGCATGATAGAGCCCCAGGAACATGGTTACGCTGTTGCTCACTGGGGTCCACTGCGGTCGAAGCATCAGGCTCCAAGGAGGTAGCCCAGTCAAAGTAGAAGCTGCCGCCTCCGAGGCACCAGGGCTCAGATTGAGGCACCGCCGTCGCCCGGTCTGTCATCCTCTCAACGTCGTGGTCGTTGTGCTCTTTAATTATACGCGTATGTATAAACAAAATAAGATAGATAAAAAGACACACAATTGAACGGCCACCGTATCTGGAGATCCGCTATTTCGTGAGGCGACTCCGCAACCACGTCCGCAACTCCGCAAGGTCTGCGCTAGATTGGTGCACGCGCAGTAGTTGCGAGGGCGTAGCGGATAACGTAGCGGAGGCGTAGCGGAGGCGCCAGAACGATCTACGAAAACTCTCTACTAGTGCGCGCGTTGCGTTACGGAACCTTTTTTGAGACGAAGTGGCATGGTTTCGATTTTAATTTACTCGTTGACGAAGTATTGCATCTCAGCACTGTATGCACATGAAGCCAGCGCGGTCGCTCGCATTGCATCGATTTATCTTCGTGAGAGCTCCGCTGAGGGACGGCCCTCCAGCGGGCCGTCAGGGTCTGCCTAGGTTTAACGAGGAGTAGGGGTGCGACCGGCCGCGTCCCATACGTTTCCGACGGCCCGGCTACCACTCCGGAATGCATCATGACTCTCCCGGCTCTCAAATCGTTTGAGAAGCTCATTGAGGAGAAGATGGAATCGGATGACCGGCCCGGCATACTTCATCCATGTGCCTTTGTAATCATGTGTACATGCGCACAAACTCTGTCATGTCGGCAGGCAAAAAACAAAACAAAAAAAACGTGCTTCAGCTTTTTATTTTTTTCGCAGACAACACCTACACTATTATCAATTTATAGGGGTCATGAAACACGTTTAAAACATTTTCCTACTTAGCTTTCCTCCTCAACTCATAAATCGCGCATTCTACCAAACAGTTCAAGAAGACGAAAAGAGGAGAGTCCCCTCTTGCTCGGAATCTCGTTTGTATTCGCAACCCCAACGCCCTATAGGTGGCGGGGCGGTAGTTCCAAGATGGTGGAAGAGACGGGGATATATTCTTTAGTATTTCCCTTGCGCCTGTTCGCTCACGCTGGTCGGTGCGCTAAAAATGATTTATTTGTCTGCAAACGTGAAGTGGTTAGGGCAGGATCATATTACATATGACAGAGATGTTGATGCGCGTTAGCAGAATGATCCTGCTGATATTTAAGGCCACGGTCCCACTGAATGTGGCAGTTTAGGTATTTTTGGCAGGTCATTACTCATCTCCTTTTAAATACTGTTTTGTGGGATTGATGTCATTCGAAAGGCGATGCAATCCTCTTTCGTTTGATATTATGTATGTTTGGTTTTTACTGTTCACGCGCGTTTGTAGCGTTGCGAATATGATGGCGCGGACCCTCACTTGCTCGGCTAGTTCATGTTTTATGAGCGATCCATTAAAGATAGCACGATTCCAATATAGCAGTTTTGTTAAGATGATGTCGGAGCAGAATCTAACGATCCGCTTTTTGGTACTTGCACTACTTTGTTTTTTAGAGCGCAGCTCTTAGGGGCCCGTTTCCGGCTTGAGCGGCGTCGGCGTCGCCGTCGCCGTCGCCGTCGGCGTAACCGCGCGGTGCATCATGGGAAATGTCCCATAATGCACCGCGCGAGCCCCCCACCGGGGTCACGTGACCTCGTGGGGGGCATGTGACCCCCCCCCCCGAGGTCACGTGACCCCGGTGCATCATGGGAAATGTCCCATAATGCACCGCGCGAGCCCCCCACCGGGGTCACGTGACCTCGTGGGGGGCACGTGACCCCCCCGAGGTCACGTGACCCCCCGAAGTCACGTGACTCCCCTGAGGTCACGTGACCCCCTCCTCGAGGTCACGTGACACCCCGAGGTCACGTGACCCCCGCCGACGTCGCGTGACCCCCGATGACGCCATCGTCATCATCACTGATGACGTCACCGGCATCCACATCGTCATCGTCATCATCACTGATGACGTCACCGGCATCCACATCGTCATCGTCATCATCACTGATGGCGTCACCGGCATCCACATCGTCATCGTCATCATCACTGATGACGTCACCGGCATCCGCATCGTCATCGTCATCATCACTGATGACGTCACCGGCATCCACATCGTCATCGTCATCACTGATGACGTCACCGGCATCCACATCGTCATCGTCACTGATGACGTCACCGGCATCCAC